AAGGTACTATGGTGAACTTARATTTATTTGCTTTCCCAGAAAGCAAATAAATAACAACATACATGTCAACTTGTATGGATTGTCCGTAAGCGAGTATGACCCCCCCGGCCCGGGTGCGAGTTGTATGAAGTTTTTGCAAAATTTACGGATTTTTGAGGCTTTTCATACAGGTAAACATCTGAAGAGGTTGACATGTATGACACAACAAAATACAGACTTGTTGTTATTGAGTTTGTCAACACAAACCGCTTCCTGAGAGGCACTACTAGCCCCTCCCCCATCAGAGTGTCGGAGCAGGATGAGTCAGTGCAACATCAATCATATGAAGGGTGGGGGGCGATTGCTGCATTGGGGAGGGGGGGTATTTTATGGGTAGAGTAGTTACTTTTTCCTGTAATATCTCATTATAGTTTTTAAGACAAAGCTAATTGAAAGGGGCGCTGAACAGAGTTATAACCAGGGATTACAAATAATTACTTTTTTTTCTTCTGCAGTTCGGCACCCCCTCCAGCAGATGGCGCTCTAGGCGACCACCTAGTTCGCCTATGCCAAGAGCCGGCTCTGGTCCCAGGCCAGAGCTAATGCTGTTTGGGGGGCAATGGCATGAAAAAGTTTGGGAACCCCTCATCTAGAATGTAATAACAGACAGTCAGATGAAGCAGATTTTATGTTAAAATGACCTGCCATATATCTACAGACTGAGTGACAGAGCATGTGCCACTGTGCTTATGCATTACCCAAGCAGAAGAAAAAACAGTTCTCTCCAAACACATATGATTARWACAAGATTTGAATAGTTTAGTTATTTTCCACTATTTTCCTGTTAAGGATATACATTATGTGAAATAACTGAAGCATCAATATTTTGATTTTAGTATCGATTCTAAAACATGAAATTCTGGCATCGGTAGTATAGATATTTCAGTATCGATCTGCACATCACTATTTGCCTGTTCTTCTTCATCTCATGGGACTAGCAAAGGAGGAGCGAGAATCTGAAACTGAGGTGGGAGGAGGGGTGGGAGGACACGAACAGCTCTCAGCTGTCAGCGACTCGGTTCCTGACGTTCATTTCAAAGAGCCGTTCAAAAGATTTGCATCGTTCGTGAAAGTCACTTCTCTAAACCCCACAGTGCATGAAAACTCTGACCTGATCTCAAAGCTGTGGAGATGGGAGGGACAGAGGAAGAGCAAAGTCTATACCAAATCACTGTGAAGAAAAACAGGGAGCATCATCTGAGAGATGCTGTGTGTGAAGCTGTGTGCAGGCTTTCTGCACGCAGCTCCTGTTGGCTCACTGCAGCCCGGACCAGAGCAGTGAGACAGCGCCATCAGTCGAACAGCAGCTACGCTCCTGCGTGCCTCATGTGGAGGTTTTGGCTGGAAAAGGGGGCATTTTTTAATGAATGTGTGATAAAAGAATAGCAACGTCATGGCGAAAACTGCTTTCTTCCCCACAGACCCCATAACTCCAGGATTCAGCAATTTAAATATTGATATTATTGACACCATTTTTGGTATTTTTAAAAGTGCAAATACTATCTTGTTTTCGTCTTTCTACTTTCAGAAGTGCAATTAAAGGGAAAGCACATTTTATTTTGTGTCTGAACCCTTTCTATGATCTAAGTTTCTCTAAGTTCGTAGTTACATATAAAGAGGAATAAGTAATTTTTATTTACTTGGAAACTTTACTTAATAACCACATTGCGGTTTAAAATTCAAATAACCAACTAATAACCAGTAGAAAGCAAAAAAAAAAAAAAAAAACAATAAGTCATTTAATAGTCATGAAAATACTTTCAGATTTAGCATACTGGTGAGAAATCATGACAGAATCTCACAGAATCAGTATTGTACATCACTACAGGATGCTTTTTCAGCCTGACTGAGAAATCCCAGAAATTTTAAACAAAGCRTAGCAGTTTAACCTAAATCCAGAGAAATCCAGTATTAGCAGAAATAACCGCATTTCTTATCATTTAATAGCAAAGTGCACAGAAGTGATAACTGTTATGTTGCAAAGAAATTGTGCACAAAGTAAGTTATCGCATAAGGCTAACATTTTCTTTAATTCAGCAACCTTACTAGTAAGGTTATGGGCTTTATGAGCCACCCGGATGAGCCCCCAGGATAGGACATATTATCAGTGTAGTTAATAGCCACAATTTAGACTAATTTTACTTTACACAGGGGTGTAAGAGCATAAACATGGAAATAGCAATTAATTATCTACAGGTGTGCAATCAGTAGGCTATGCACAAAAAAGTAGTCATTTGGAAATAAATTCATGGTCAAGACAATGTAATCAGTGGTGAGGTAAAAGGGTGGTACATAAGTTGGTGAATTTAAATAAAACTGGTTTGGCACAGAGAAGAGCTCGGTCAGTTGAAATATATGCCTGAAAATACAAACTAAATAAATAAATTGCATTAAAAAAAAATAAAAAAGCTTCCCTGGGAGACGAGCGCTTTTTCTCTCCTCCTTCCGGCAAGTAGATCCGGACCTGTGCAGCGCGGAGAGATATCAGTTTAGATCCCGTGTGGGAGAGAGAAAACAGAGCAGTGAGAGAGTGAGTGAGGTGGGGGGAAGAAAAGCAGAGCCTGCCTACTGGTGGCAGATGGAGTAACGGAGAGGAGAGAAGTCCACGTATTACCATGCGGAGATTTGGACTACATAAACTTTATGCAAAACCACCCAAACTACGTGATTAATAATAAGAACAGAGGTACGTTGCTTTTGTCTTCTCTCGCATGTTGCCTTCAAAAGTTTTGCGTCGGCATCTTTGTAACTAAAAAAAGAAAAAAAAAAGATAAAAAGTTCGATGTGGACGGCTGCCTATTGTGAGCTGAAAGAAACCGAGGGCTGGTGCGTGCTTCACCTCTTTATAGAAGTTTGCTCTGAACAGAAGTAACGACTGAGCGTCATTTCCTACATATGTGAACACTTTATTCTAGTGTTGGTTTGTGCGTTGTTTTGTCCTGAGTTAGAAAGCTGCGGAGCGGTCTTTTCAAGCAATTCTTTGCCCTGCTGCTCACTGCTGCCATCGTTTCAAGGACTGTAGAGTTGGGGGATGGGGTTTGAAATGAAAAGTCTCCACAGACACCTAACTTATTGAACAAAATAGGTAACTTTCCCCCACAATAATAAAAAAGTCTGTGCATGATAATTAAAAATATATATATTTCTGCATTTTCCCATGCTTCCCTTAAAATAAAAAGCTACAAGTTGTATAGTCTGGATTGCTTTTTTTCGTTATAATGGTGTGTCCACGAGCAGATGTTTTTTTTTGTACCTGCAGGCACTAGTTTTAAATTTAAGGTGGGTCGGTTTCAACCGTGTCACTTATTAACCATTCATAAAACATTGATAACTAAACCCTCCTGGGGGCATTTTGACACGCCAAAAGTAAATAGCGCGGCTTTTATTGGAGGCATTCTTGCGCAGACAGAGTACGTCTTTTTATTGGGCATTGTGTGCGTTTCTTGCGCCAGAWGCTGTGGCTGCTGTAAATGAATGATTCAGTTATTATAAAAGCAGTTTTAAAGCCACCAGACAGCTGTTTCTTTGGTTGGACTGCAAAGAACAACTATGTGCATAGTTTTTCAGCAACTCTTTGTTTTGGCATTGTCTGTACAAATTTATGCAAGTTTAAAAAAAAACTGTCAGCTATTATTTTGTTTTCATCCCAGGTGAAAGAAAAAATCTATGATGATGTCGAGTAAGGTAAGGAATTGAAAGATTTGCTCCCAGTGCCAGTGTTTTGAACCGATTGAGGTCACATTTGGGGAAATTAGCTTTCACTATTGAAAAGTGCACCTAGTTGGCATCCGGCACTTTGCTGAAATAGGACCGTTGCCAGCTCAGATCTTGTCAGCTGGTTTGCTGATCTGTTTTATCTTATTTCCACATGAAATCTTTAGCCGCTCATCAGCCTGACCAACACTTGGCAAAGCATTTAAAGCTGTCTGCTCTTTTATTGTAATTTCAGTTGATGATGTTAACACAAAAAGTCTAAATGTATTTTTCTTTTTTTTTTACAGGCGGCGCTGTGAGGATCACGGTATAGTAATGGGGAAGTGTTGGGAGCCGCTGCTTGTTCTGTTCCTGCAGCTTTTTTGCAGCTGCACTGGAAGCCCAAGGCTGGTGAGGGCTGCCTCCATGCAGTTCACCCACTCTGTTTACAATGCCACCATATACGAAAACTCCGCTGCTAAGACATATTTAGAGAGCCACGCAAAGATGGGGATCTACATCACAGACCCGGCATGGGAGATACGGTACAAAATCATCTCTGGAGATAACGAGAACTTATTCAAAGCAGAGGACTACCTGGTGGGAGATTTCAGTTTTTTGCGAATAAGGACCAAAGGAGGCAGCACTGCCATTCTGAACCGGGAGGTTAAAGACCACTATATCCTCACTGTCAAGGCCTCAGAAAGGAGCACAAATTTCGAGTGTCGCACCAGAGTTAGGGTGCAGGTACTGGATACCAATGACCTAAGGCCCCTTTTCTCGCCAACCTCCTACAGCATCTCACTACCGGAGAACACGGCCATACGCACAAGTGTGGCTAAAGTCACGGCAACTGATGCGGATATCGGCACGAACGGAGAGTACTACTACAGCTTCAGGGAGTGGACGGACATGTTTGCTGTTCATCCGACAAGTGGTGTGGTGACACTGACTGGCAAGCTGGACTATTCTGAGATGAAGCTGTACGAGTTGGAGATCCTTGCAGTGGACAGAGGGATGAAGCTGTATGGCAGCAGTGGGTTCAGCAGCATGGCCAAACTTACAGTCAGAGTGGAACAAGCTAATGAGCATGCACCTGTAATTACCGCAGTAACCTTGTCGCCCTCCGATGCAGATCACGACCCCACATATGCCATTGTGACAGTTGAGGACAAAGATCAGGGACCAAACGGAGAGATAGCGTCACTGAGTATCGTGGCCGGTGACCCTCTTATGCAGTTTAAGGCTGTTAGAACCAGCCCAGGGAGCAAGGAGTACAAAATAAAAGCTGTCAAAGATGTAGACTGGGACAGCCAGCCTTTTGGATACAACCTCACCTTACAGGCAAAGGACAAAGGCACCCCTCCACAATTTTCATCTGCTAAACTGGTACATGTCACTTCAGCGCACTTCCAAAATGGCCCTCCTGTATTTGAAAAGGCCATTTACAGAGTCAATCTGAGTGAATTTGCCCCACTTCACACACCTGTCACTATGGTGACAGCTGTGCCAAAGTATCCTCATCTAAAATATGCTTTTAAACACAGTCCTGACAAGAATAGATTTAGTATCAATCCAAATACTGGTTTAATCAGCACAGCAGGACCAATCAATGCTGATATTTCCCCGAAATTTGAGCTAGAGRTGATCACCAGTGACAGAAAAGCAGCTACAAAGGTAATTGTTGATGTTATTGATGTAAATAACAATGCACCAGAATTCCAGCAGACATCCTACAAAGCCAGTGTGGATGAGAATGTACCTATTGGGACCAGTGTAGTGACAGTGAAAGCCACTGATKTAGACAAAGGGGAGAATGGCTATGTGACCTATAGCATTACCAATCTAAGTCCCCAGCCGTTTGTCATTGACTACTTTTCTGGTGTGATCAGCACTTCAGAGAACCTAGATTATGAGCTCATGCCCAGGATTTACCATCTCAAAGTCAGAGCATCRGACTGGGGATCCCCTTTCCGGAGAGAAGTGGAAGCATCGGTAACTGTAACTTTAAATAATCTAAATGACAATAAGCCTTTGTTTGAAAATGTGAACTGTGAAGTGACTGTGCCCAGAGATCATGGTGTTGGGGAGCAGATAACCACAGCATCTGCCATCGATGCTGATGAACTACAGCTAGTGCGGTACTACATTAAAGCTGGAAATGATCTTAATCTGTTTGAACTGAACCCAAACTCTGGCTTGCTTTCATTGAAGCACACGCTGAGTGAGGGTGAGGCAGCTAAARTATCCCTCCACAGTTTACAAATTGTTGCAACTGATGGCGAACACGAGACTCAGCCAATGAGCATGAACCTAACTGTCATCACGGCACACAAGCCTGTCCAGGTGAAATGTGTTGAAACTGGTGTTGCTACAATGTTGGCTGAAAAGTTACTTCAGGGCAGCAAAATCCATGTGCAAACTGAGCCAGATGAYAACTTCATAGACACTTACTCAGTCAATCGGTACTCTCCTCAGTTTGGAGACTCATTTCCAGGTGTTATTGAAGTTAAAGAGGACCTGCCTGTTGGAGCCCGGATTGTCCATCTAAGTGCCACAGACTCAGATAGYGGCTTCAATGGAAAGTTGGTGTACGTTATATCAGGAGGAGACACAGAAAGCCGCTTTATTGTAGATATGGAAGCCGGTTGGCTTTTGGTGTATTCTCCCCTTGACCGTGAAACAACTGACCGCTACACACTCAACATTACAGTTTATGATCTTGGGATACCACAGAAATCCTCTTCACGCCTCTTGGATGTGAAAATCTTAGATGCAAATGATAACAGCCCTCAATTTTTGAAAGACTCGTACTCGGTTGAAATAAGTGAGAACACACCTGTTGGGACWGAAATTATCCAGGTGGATTCAACGGACAAAGACAAAGGTGATAATGGGATTGTTAAATACTCAATTTTAGGAGGCACAGATCATTTTGCGATCAATGAGACAACTGGTGTCATAACTGTGACGAAACCAYTGGATCGCGAGCGCTATCCATTTTATCTTCTGAAGATTGCGGCACATGATCAGGCAGTGAGCGAGCCTCAGTTGGTATCCACAGTGCCTCTTAAAATCACATTGGACGATGTGAACAACAATCCTCCAAAATTTGTTCCCCCTAATTACCGCGTGAAAGTCAGGGAGGATCTTCCTGTTGGTACCGTAATTATGTGGCTGGAGGCTCATGACCCAGATGTTGGACCTTCCAGCCAAGTACGATACAGTCTTRTGGATAATGGAGATGGGACTTTTGAAGTAGATAAACTCAGCGGTGCTCTTCGGATTGTTCAGAACCTCGACTATGAGGCAAAACAGGCGTACAATCTGACAGCAAAAGCTAAAGACAAGGGGAAGCCCATTTCTTTGTCATCAACCTGCTTCATTGAGGTGGAAGTGGTAGATGTGAATGAAAATCTCCACAGGCCTTTGTTCCGATCGTTTGTGGAAAAGGGATTTATAAAAGAAGACGTCCCTGTTGGGACTTCTGTGATGACTGTGTCGGCTAAAGATGAGGACCCAGGACAGGATGGAGAAATCCGATACTCCATAAGAGATGGATCTGGTCTGGGAATATTTTCCATTGATGAGGAAACTGGTAAGTCTCTTTGTTTTATAGATCTATGTAAAATGTGTGTTTTGTGTTATGAGTTGCTTTGTGGAATAATGGGGTATGGCTGTTTTCTATGAGACAAGTCCCTCATTCCATTCTTCTTTTCTTTTCTTTTTTTGGTTGAGTCAATGGGAAGAACAGATGAGCTTGCTGTCTCTCAGACATTTGTGGACATTCCTTATTAGTTTCCATGGCACTGAAAAAGTTTTGGAGTGAATTCATATCCTTTTTTTTCCCCTCAAACCACCCCCTCATCATACACCTACACACAAACACTGWATGAAACAGTTTTGATCTCGAAAATGTTTCAGTTTTTTATGTTTAAATGTGGATTTAACAAGAAAATGTTTTTTTTGTTTTTGTTGTTGTTGTTCACAAGGAATTCTTTCCTCATGTTGCAGAAAATATGTAATTACAAGATCAGGTTTCTTAGTTTGAATAGCTGACTTAAATGAGGTCAAAATAAGCTGTCTCAAATTATAGCAATCACTTAAGTTGGAGAAAGTGTGCCAATCTATTCACCTCTGCTTCTTATACCAGAGTAATAATGTAACATTTTAAAGTGCCCCACCCCTACATCTAGTGAAACTTTAAGTGCATAATATTGTCTTGAAACCTCAAAAATTCACATCTTCATAAATAAGCTGTAAACGAAGTCACTAGTCGGCAGTTTATTCTATTTTAAATGTGCTTTCTACCTTCAGGTTAGTGTTTTGTTTTTGGAATCATGTGAATAATTCAATAAGTTGACAGGAAGTTGCAGTAAACCTTGTGGGAAACACTTTGTTTTGCCAGGTAAATTTAGTACAAGTATATAAGCCTTTATAAAGGATTCATACAGAGCTTCTTGTCATCGGTTGTGTGTTTGTGATTGTTTCTGTGATAGTAGTGTCTGATATGCAATAAGATTCTTGTGCATGTAGAAGAATGCTGGAATAAACCTCTGACTAGTCACTGTCTGCTTTTGTGTATTGAACTGTGTTTTGGAGAATAGTGTGGATTTCATTTCTTCTAACTATTGAAGGCTTGGGTGGTATCAGATTTTCATCTGACTGGAGTGGAGTGTGAGAGTATTTAGAAAAATAGTAGAAAGTAAGTCATTTATGTTTAACATAAATTTGTCATTAACATCAGTGTTTGGTTAAATCAGCAATAAAAACAGCAAAAACATTAAAAAACAGATCACCTTCTAATTGATTTTGTGTTCTATATAAGGCATTTTATAAAGTTTAAAAATTATTAAAAATGTTCCAATTTGCCTAAAGTGTCCAATCATAGTTTCAGATTTAGTGCAAGTAGGTCTAATAGCCTTAATTGTTTATTTGCCAACACAATAAGCTTATTTGCTCTATTCGGCTTTAGCTGGGAGTATTTTGGGGAGACTGTGCTTCCTGCAGTGCACTTTATTAGTTTAGAATGCTGCTTCAAAGTACAACCAACTTTCTTATAGCAAAAATGTTTTTAATTTTCATTTGTGCCCCAGTACTGCTTGAGAAAAGATTGCCTGATTTTCTCAATCCAAAATAATATCAAGTACTGACAATTTTATTTTAAACCCGCATGAAGTTAGAAATTTTAGTGTCATTACAACCATTTGAAACCCTGCAACGATTCTGACTGTTAGTGTAGCCTTTGCCTCATGTCTCTTAAAAATTGTGCTTGAAAACATAGACAATAGGATATAAAAATATCAAAGGATTTGATGTGTGTACTAATGTTGGCTACACGGTAAAAAAAGCACAGTTACAAATATGAGTAGCAAAGCTACATGAATTTATCTAACATCTATGTTGCATGGAAAGATTAGCTATAGTGATATCAATCTGTCCATAATTTAGCATTTTTTAATGTGGCAGCTTAAATCTTATAATTTTGTCAGTAAAAAAAGTTTTGAAGTGTCGCAGTGACGCCTGTTCTCACAAATGCATGAAGTCAGAACATGCAGTTAGTTTTATGGAGCCACATAAATGGCTGTTGTCCATGTCTAACTTGAAATCCAGAGCAAGCCTGGTCTGGGAACAAAGTTTGATCTTCTACTTAAGTCCAGGGGCCTTTATTAAGTGATTATGAAGAGTTGCAATGATAGGATTCTGCTGGGTTGGGTCCTGCTATTATGGATTAGATCTGAGGTCAGTAGACAACTAAATACAGCCAAGGTGGTAATGCCCCTCCCATGATTTCACTAGATGAAGGGTGAGGTATTTTTTTTCTTTTTTTAAGTGCCATATGTCTTTAGATTATTATGCTTCTAAAAGAAAAAAAAATCTATAAGCATGGGTGCACACCCTGTTATATAMCCAGTACTGCAGCTGCAAGTTGTGAAGTTTAACCAAAATGTTTTTAAAATGGTTTAAAGTTAGAAAACAAATGGGAAAAAGTGGCATGAGGACATCTGCCTGAAACCACACACCTTCAGCTAGGAAATTTGTTTCTCAGTGTGCCGAGAAGTTAAGGAAAACTACAGACGGTCTATTCCTGTTTTACTGGGCTGTTTTTAATGCAAAACTCATGCACATTTATTTGGAAAGAGTACTGTACATCAGTCTACAGTCTATTTATGATGCATTTTATTGTTCTTTTACCACATAGTGATCCATTTTTCCTCTGACATCCACTATAACACAGTAACAATAACACCATGACTATATATAGAAAAAATGCAGTTGAAAGCATTACACTCTAAGTGAAATGCGACTGTGTGGATCGCCCCCAGTAGATACTGTATCTGAACAAAGAAAGGATTTTACAGTAGACTAAACAGCCAGTTCTTGCTTCCCACTTGACTGAAATTACCCAACTGTGCAAGGACACAACCACATTATTTGTTAGCTTGAGCGCATTTTAACTTAATATCTGATATAACTGTTTACAGAGCACCATGCTGTTCTTATGTACATGAGCTAAGTAAAAAGAAACCTTCTTGTTCTTGTTTCCCATCTGCTCTGGTTTCTTGATGTCTGCCTGTTCAGGGAGCCCAGAGCAACTGTTTGTCCAGACATTCTCCATGTTATTAAAAGCTTTGTGGTCCCTGGACCATTGCCATCTTAATTTAAAAACTGTTTTATCATGGAGCTTTACTAAGCCACTTCCCATGATGTAAACTAAATTTACCTTACTTTGCTTTTATCTGTAAGTTTGCATATTGTCAGTTTCTGATCTGTGGAGATAAAGTAGACTTAAAAAGACTGAAATAAACTATTTAAAGGTTTTAACATGTATACAAAGAATGATGGGCATCATAATGTTCAATTCAAGAATAGTACTACTTTTTATGTTAGTTTATTAAATTAGAGAAATTATTTACATTTCAAATTTGGAAAAGGTTACCTTGCATCAGACACTAATGCATTTGATTTCCTCACTTTTTTGTGCTCAGATGGACRTTAACATTTAACTTGAGAGAGCTTTTATCCCATAAGTGGTTGGCTACTGATTTCCATGTTAGACCCTTTGAGGTGGACTAATATGGGATTTCAAGTTTTGATGCCAGTGCAGTTTGGCAAAAGGCTGATATAGTTACTTTCAGATGTGATCTTTTCTTTCCTTTTTTYCCCCTCTCCTTTTTCAAACTCGCTGTCAGCCTTCACATGAAAAACACCAGTTTGCTGTCTGGGGAGACTGACAGTGGGAATTGAACCGCTAATCTTGTGGTTGACAGATGAGTGCTTTACTAAAGTTGAGGATTTTGCCAAACAGTCAAAGCTAATACGTGCTGAAATCACAGCAGAGACATAATGACACAAACTAAGGTGAAAAAGGCTGAAATGATTTGTATCAAATAAAGATCTGTGGTGACAAACGTTACAAGAACCAAATCTCAACTAAATCTCCACACTTCCCTCAACCCTCTTTGCTCCTGTTTCATGCTGACGTACTTGCTTTTAATTTTATTGTTTAGTGGAAAAAAATGAAGATACTGGGATCAGCCAATAAGAAAAATGTGGGGCAGGAAGTGCAAAGTTCTAGGTTTACTCATGGCCTTTCTACTTTCGATGCCCTTGGCTCCAAAAAACCCCACACAGACTATAAAATCTTGCTTACCTAAGAGGATCATTTCTTTAGAGTAAGCCACTGTAGATCTACTGTACATACTCTATGTAGGTCAGTATGTAGGCTTGAGAAAGTTGTTTGTAAATCCTCAAATGCTGCACTCACATGTAGTTTAAAAAAAATCACATAAAATTGTTTTCGTAARTTTGTAACTGTAAGATTTTAAAGCATCCTGAAAGCTAACATGACATTAACTTCCTGCAGTGCAATTAGGACGGCCATAAAGCTATCTATCTACTCTTGAAGAACATAAGCATGTCTCCACTCCTCAAAAGTACACCTGACTCATTCTAACACACCTTACTTCTGGTAATAATTAACAGATAAAATTGTGTTTTTCCAGTGAGTAATTGTCTACTCATTTGTACATTTATATTTATTATTTTAGCCGATCTCTCTTTGCTGTAAAGCAGCTTACGAGAACTTTTAAACTTCATCATCAGACAACGTGCAAAAACAGTATAAGTGAATTGTAAGCATAGGTTTTACATTTTAGAAAAGGAATAAGGGGACTTTTAATTAATGAATTCATGAAAATACATTTTGCAATTTGAGAAGCTGTCTTAATCAGAAAGCTAGACAGCTATTAGTAAATCATGGGCAAATAAAAAAAACAACCAGCTTGTAAATTGAGTTTTTCCCGTGGAAGTTTTATTTGTATGAGTTTGTAAAGGATAATTCAAGAAATTTAAATTGTCAGCCTGTTATTAAACAAATTATTCACCTTCACTTTTGTGGACATACAGTATCTGATGAGCCGTCTTTTAGTTGCCTTAAGGTCTTTCTTCCTGTAGTTCCAAATGTGTGATGTTTTTTTACCTTTAATATAATTAAATATTTTTACATTCTTTAAATAATTTGTTACATTGTTATTTTTACATTTATAGCGTTATACTTCCTAAAAAAGGATGGAAGTGATTGCTGTGATGATGAGA